TATAATATAATATAAAAAAGCTATTTGGTTTCTTGGGAATACACACCTGGCGCTTCTCAGTGAACCGCTCACGATACACACGGGCACAGCTGGGCTGCTAGTGTTCAGACTCAAGGCGTCCGTCCAACCCAGCAGATCCCCGCTGGGTGCCTTCCTGAGAGAGTGAAAGACCTCACGGCACAGAGAGGCCCGCGCGGCCGCACGCAGCACAGCTCGCAACAGCTGAACCCCGGGAGCTGCCTGCGCCCATCAGCAGATGGATGGACAAAGAGAATGTGGTGCTTACACACAGTGGAGTACGGAAAATAGGAGCACCCTCACTCACACACACACACACACACACACACACACACACACACGCACACACGCTTGGGTATCACATGATTTTTCTTATGGGAAAAACTCACTATATAAATAAAGTGTAAAGTAACGGACACTAAAGAAAAACGTGTTTGTAATCCAGCATGTCCAGTGTATCTAAAAGTGTCTTGATATAGTGTAATTGTTTTATACATTTTTAAAAAATTTTTTGGCTGTTAGTCTGTGTTTATGATAATGAACTTGATAAAGACACAAAACAAATAAATCTGATACTGACATAAAAGATTTGTTCTATGCACGGACCAACTTGCCACAGTGAAGGTAAACAGGTAAACATCTAACAAAAATAAACATTTTTGAAAGGTCTCCTTGAAGATTCCCCCTTTCAGTTGTGCAGGAAGGAGTCGGCCCCTCGGTCTGTGCCGCGCTGCAGCCCGCTCTAGGGCCAAGGGAACAACGCCACAGGGAACAACGCAGCCTTTGGGAGTTGTCCACGCACCCGCCTCAGGATGCAGTTATGTCAGGGCCTTAGAATGACAGGACTACAAGAAACGGGCTTGCTACACATAGCCTGCCATCTTGCCAAACTGTTAGCAAGGTGTGAACTTTTCTGTTTCAATATCATGTGGGGGCCGTGTGCGCGCGTGTGCACACGTGCATAAACACAAGCATTATCTGCTCCCGTTCAGCCCTGCCACTAGTGTGGGCACAACTGCAGCGCTGCCACTGGGAAAGTTCCTTAAACTCTGGCAAAATAAGGAGGAGGCAGAGATCTGGATGATCCCGAAGTTCCCTCAGGGTCCCAATCAGTTGTGAACCCATGCCTCGCTAAAGTCACACTGTTCTGGAAGCAAAAATACCTTCCTCTTGCTAAAGACACAAAGAACTGAGGTTTGCTTTTGTGGGGGTGGAGGTTATCAACATAGGAGCCAAAGGAGGCAGGTGTGGTGGCACACACCTGTAATCCCAGCACCCAGGAGGCTGAGGCAGGAGGATCGTTTCTAGTTCAAGACCAGCCTGGGCTACAAAGTGAGCTCAAGGCCAGCGTGAGCTGCACAGCAAGACCCTGTCTCAAAAAGACCAAAAAAAAGTACAAAAGGAAACAAGCCAGACTAGCCTGACAGGATCAGCTAATTATAGAGGTACAAGGTGTGCATCTCATCACCCCCATAATTAAGCCAGTCTGTCCCATGGTTCAGGTTAGAGCCATAGACCCAGCCTTTTAGAGTTTTCATTGACAGCAACCAGCAGCTGTGGCACGTGTCACCACACCCAAGCGTCAGAGTCACCATATCCTACCCACTATCCTGTCCCTAATGCTGGGGACACAGGTGGGCTCAGAGTGGGCACAACGAAAGTGGGAAGTAACTGCTGAATGAGAGAATTTAACACTATTTTAAAAATGAAAACATGAATTCGCAATCTGAAGAAGACTTCCAAAACTTTATAAGCCACGGAAAGAATTGCAGAAGATGAACATTAAAGAAGAAGAAGAAGAAGAAGAAGAAGAAGAAGAAGAAGAAGAAGAAGAAGAAGAAGAAGAAGAAGAAGAAGAAACATTTAAAAGGCAAATGGTGAGCTGTAAAAAATACGTGCCACAAAAAATTTATCCTACCACCGGTGAGATAGCTCAGCAGACTAAAGTGCCTGTTCAGGCAGGCTTAGGCAGGTGCAGGGGACCGCAGTGAATTCCTGGCAAGGGCTGAACCAGCCAAAAGAAAAATAAGCATATCCTGAAAAAAATACTAAGATAAGCAGAAGATGCAAACAGACAAGAAAGGAAAACCAGTACAAGAGTACATAAAATTTCAACTCCTCTACAGTATAAAATAATTTCAAAATAAATAAAGATTTTTTTTAAATTACAACTAAATATTGGTAAAACATAGTACACATAGCTATGGAAAGGAAAATGGGTAATTTGGGAAAGCTATTTGGCAATGTATTTCAAAATATACCAAAGTGTACACACACATACACAATGGTACTAGCAAGTGAGCCCAGGGCCTTCTTCACAGAGAGCTGCATCCCCAGCCCTTTGCGGAAAAAATTTAATTTTGAGACAGGGTCTAAGCTGTTAAACTTTCCAGGCTGGGCTCAAACTTATGATCCTCCTGACTCACCTTTCTATGCATGGCCCACCAAGTCTGGCTGCACCTACAATCTTCGACTTCATGATTCTACTTCCAGAGACTGACTCCCAAGAAACTAGTCAGAATGGAGAAGAAATAGAGTAAAATATGTTGCCCGATCCAGGGTGGGAAACTATTTATTCAGCTGTCTCTTAGACACTGGTCATTTGAGAGATGCTAATTAAAATAACACTGAGATTCCATCTCACCCCAGAAGAATGGCTATTACCCTGAAATCAACAAATGGCTAGAGGAGCTGTGGAGAAAAAGGAGCCCTTCTCCACCGTTGGCGGTATGCACTGGTGCAACCACTGTGGAGATCAGTGTGGAGATTCCTCAAAAAACCAGGATTAGAGGTTCCTATTCAGCCCAGCTATTCCCCTTCTGAGTATTTTCCTAGGACAATTTAAAAGCTCATACCAGGCAGGTGAGATGGCTCAGTGGTCTAAAGCACTTACTTGGAACAAGCTTAGCAAAGCACAGGGACCGCGGTTCAATCCCCCAGCACCACATGCCAGCCAGCCCCGCCCCCTGGTGGGCTGAGCTGGCCACACACACACACACACACACACACACATAAATAAATAAAATTTAAAAAAAAAAAAAAAAAAAAAGGGGCCGGGGAGATGGCTCAGTAGCATAAGTGCTTCCCTGGCAAGCGCAAGGACCTGAGTTCAATCCCCGGTTCCGCAAAAAAAATAAATAAATAAAAGCTCATACCACAGCGACATGTGCGCACCCATGCTTACAGCAGCACAATGTGTAACAGCTAGATCTTGGAAACAGTGCAAACACCCGCCAACTGAGGAACGAATAAAAAAGATGTGGTCTTTTTATACAATGGAGTACTACTCAGCCAAAAAGAAGGATAAACTGCAGACTTTTATCGATAAATGGATGAAGCTGGATCACATATTCATATGTGAAAATAAATCAGACTCACATGTAAACATCATATTGTCCTCCTAGTGTGAAAAACCAAAAGAGTAAGTAAGATCTAAAATGTACAATAGATATTATGAAAGGGGAAGAAATTGTTTGAAAGGAAAGAGGAACTAGGATGGGAGAGAGGGGAAAGGAAAGGAAAAGGAAAAAATACAAGACAGTTATACTACCAGCGTCGCTTAGTTCAGTTGAAAAGAAAGGTTTGTACTAATACTGCTGAGAGACCTTCTTTGGCCGTATCCTGTGCTCTGAGTAACTACCTCGAGGACACCAGTGTGCAGCGTATTAGCTGCTGCTGTGCTCCACAGAGTGCGCCGCGATCAGAAACGCGGGCCTCTGGAAGGACGTGGGGATTCCTAAATGGCAAACGGGAGGGAAATTTTTCTTATATCAATCACTGAATAATAACTGCCGAAGAAAAGGAATTTATGTATCATGGAGGCCTTGCGCATCTGACAGTCATGAACAGGAACAGGAGGACGGAGAAGAAGAGGAGCGGGAAGGTATCCACTTCTCTATGCTCCTCACGCTACATGCAACACTGGAAGGCAGATGGCCACAAATTAAAGGTGCGCTTGGCCGGGCTGGATTGCAGCCCTCGGGAGGCTGAGGCAGGAGGGGAGATGCAAGTTCGAGGCCAGCCTGGGCTGGCTACAAAGTGAGCTCAACCCTGCCTGAACTGCATAATGAAACCTTGTCTCAAAAAGAAAAAAAAAAAAAATTGTTCCACGTAAAATCCAGGACAACTAATAAGCATTTTGAGAAGAGGCATAGTCAGCTAGAGAAATCAACTGGAATTATTCAAAAGGGCCAGGGGGATGGCTCAGTAGACTAAACGCTTCCCTGGCAAGCGCAAGGGCCCGAGTTCAATCCCCAGTTCTGCCAAAAAAAAAAAAA